GCCTCAGCCACAGCTAAACCATGTGAAGGACTGCTCCCAGCCCACCCCCTGGTCTCTGGGCAGAGGCCACACTCCCTCTCTGCAGGATGTCACTGCCCTTTTCTGCCCTGCCAAGGTCAGGGCACAAGTTTACACATCCTACCTAATCTTTCACCACAGCACAAGTTAAACCCTTCCACTGGCAGGGTTTTAAGAGCCATCCCTTGGATGCATTTGAACTGAAGCAGACTGGGTAGCACCTACGTACAATGCTACATCCCACGTTTCTGGGAGCGATGCAACCAGTGGTGAGAAACTGCTGTGGGAGTTGTCTCTGACAATTCCCAGCTGGGAGGCACCCAGCCCAGGGTGTGGGGTGGCAGCTACCTGGAGCACAGGGAGAGCCCTGTGGGGCTGCCAGGAGGCCAGGTCCTTGCAGCAGGGGAGGAGGTTTGGCTCCATCCAAGGGCAAGAGGATGAAGCAGGGAAAGACATTATGTGTATGTGCTTGTTCCCAGAAAAAAAATCACTGTGGACCTCATCCTTCCTCTTGTTGATATCAAACAAGAGAATAAAGTCATATTTAATTGCTATACAAGCATGGTGGTGCTGCATCTTTAGTGGGGAATGAAGACTTTAATGTATATAAACGATCGTAAAAGATGTAAAGGGGAGCGTTGTGCAATGTAAATGCAGAAAAAATATTTTCAAAGAAATCAACATTATTCAGTGAGCACTTTACTAAATTAATTTCATTCTTATATGTACATTCATGCCCAGAGAGCAAGGCCAGCTGACACAATTTCTACAGCAGGAACAAAGCTAGCAAATTAACTTAATACATGATTAAATCTTTCTAAAGAAAAGAAAAAAAAAACCAAAACAAAACAACCAAACCCAACCAACATCGGTAAAACCTACTCACAGTAATTTTATAGGGAGATAATGAAAGAGAAAAGATGGACAAGTTTTGTGATGCTATTAATGCTGGCAAGACAAGGAAGGAGAAAATAAGCAATTACCTGTACACACAGCTCTTCAGTTTTGTAACAGAGCAAATAATCAGAACCAAACCCACCAAAAAAGTCAATAAAAGCACATGTATTCATAAAGGTCTTGCTAGATAAACTCACAACACCTTTTCATATTTCTCCTCCATTGTCCTTCTCGTGATATGGGGAGAGCGTTACAGCATCCTGCTGTTCAGAGAAAGCAGAAGAGGATGTTCAGATGTAGCCTTAACCAGAAGAAACAGCAGTGGCAGTAGGAAGCAAATTACACTCTAATCAAAAACTTGTAAGCAATTGAGAGAAACTGATTGTGGAAGAGGCTAGGTTTTATTGTGACCACAGTAATCGAGTGTTTGCACTGAGTCAAGACAACAAAGAAAATTACTGCACCACTGGCTATCAACCCTGTATCAAGAAGTATTAAATTATGGACAAGGAAAGCAACACATCAGCTTATCAAGTCGAGGAATGACAGTATCTGTATTCATAACTCATTATCAGAAACATCTGAGACCTATTTAGCTTATTTTGAGAGGACTATGGAGAAGAAAAGGCATGATCAAAACTTCCACAACTGTGAACTCCCATGGAGCAAAGAAATTGAAAAAATATAATCACCAAGCCTTGAGCAGCAGAAGTTATAAAGCTCAGCATCCTATGGAGCACCCACACACATTTTCTGATGTCTATTACTTTGAATGTTTACTACAGCTCTTCCTTCAGTGGGGGCATCAATCGCATCTCCCTCATCTCCCTGGTCACCAGAAGTCTTGAGGTTTGTAAGATTTCATCACTTTGAAATCTCTGTTCTTCTGTTTATATTGGCAGAAATTAATCCCTAAGGGTAAAAAAAATTACACCAAGGCAATGAGGGGAGCTGTCAGTCAGACAGCATTATTATTGTTTCAGCTTCATCTCCTTAGAAAACCAGGCTGAAATTAATATAGTCAGGACAGAAGGGAAGAAATAACAAACATAAATCTAAAATGGGAAAAACTTTTAAAACCTGAATTTTTGAGTCAAGTACAGAAGACATTGTTTCATGTGAGGAGAGCCAGATTTGGGAGCTTTTCACAAACAGATCACCATTTCTGACTTTCTAGGATTTCTGCTAAGCCATACTCTTAGGCTGCAATGGAAATCTGGATGATCCCCTTGTAAAAACGAAAACGCCAGAATCTTAATCCATTCTAACACAGATGTTTGACTGTCTAAATACTTCTAGCAGACAAGATCACTTGGATTTACTTTTGTAATTCTCCCCTTTCAGTGCTGGGGGTTATCCTGTAGGTCTGAGTGGCCAGTCTGGATGCTACAGGATGCAAAAAATCAATCCAAAATCCTGAACTGTTCCACTGCTCACAAAACTATTTAAGAAAATGAGGTGCACCCTAGGGAGATGCTGCAGTGCATGGAGGCTCTTTGGACATCAAGAAGTGGGGAGAACACACCAATTTCCCTCACTTTGCCCCCAAAGCCAGTCAAGAGGAAGCCAAGCCCAGAGAACCAAATGTCGTCCTGAGGCATCTTCACCAGGAGGAGAAATCAACCAAGGACAGCAAAAAATCCAGCAGGAGTTCAGGGAACATATGATCTTGAGCTGATGGAGATAACTATACAAATGATTCCTCAGAGATTTTCCATCTCAGGTTTTAGAAACTGAAGGAAGCAGTTACATTCTGAAAGGGTCATTAAAAACCTTCATTAGTACACTAACAAAAAATATTATTTGTTAACAGGACAGTCAGTGAACGGACACAAGGGAACAATTTTGTACTTTCAGACAGATTAACAACATGACCGAGTTAACAAGTGACTGAGTTTCTATCTTTCTGCATTTCATGATTTGCATAATGAAAATATTTTTTAAATTTGTCATGATTTTGAAATTCATGTATATTTTTATAGCATACTGATGTGTTATGGTGTATTGTCTTAATTTGTAACTGTCATAACACATCTAATTTAAAAAAACAACAAAAAAACAACAAACAAACCAAACCAAAAGAAAAAAAGCTGGTCTCTGTTTCAACAGGTATATTACAAAACCAAGCTATGGAACTAAACCTAAACCTTCACTCTAATAGTACACTAAAGTATGTGCTTTTAGAAGTTATGTGGGTATTTATAGCTAAGTTTCAAATTATCTTACTCATATATGTAAGTATTTGCTATCAACCACAATGTAGTATTTCAAAACCATCATGGCATAAACATTCAAGTTCAAAACTTCAAAGAGAATATTATAAATTGAAACAAAAAAACTCAGTAACTCAGACCATTCTCATTCCCGTGACTTTTGTAGTCAGAAAAAATAAACAAAGTGTCACTGTCTTTCCTTCAGCTGTTTTTAAGGTCTCTGTTTTGATCCAATTTTTCATCAATAAATGGGGTTTTTTTTCCTACATACAGAAGGTGATGAAGTTATACTGTGTAAGTCAATATGCCCTATATGTTTCCACATTAACCAATCTTAACCACAATGCCCCCAAAGCTATTGCTTCAGGAATTTTTAATACTCTTTTACTTTTCACTGCTAAAAACACTTGCCTGCTCTGCAGAGTCCACAACAAATAACTTCAATGAATGCTGAGAAGAATCATATATGACTGGATTAAGAAACAATTCTCTTACTGCCAACATTCTGTGGCAATTAGAAAGAAAAAAGTTCCTGCCTTGCATGTGATCTAAGTACAAGTTTGCAAGGACGTTCCTTGCAAACACAGCTGAAAGTCAGTAATGTATTTTAACTAGTTTTCTAGGAATACATTTTGCATCAACAAACGACATGTTAGTTGTTCATTATCTTTCTGTGCAATTTAAATTATGGACTTCATGCACAACGGTTATGGTTCAAAAATGTGTTGTAATATATCTAAGCAGTAAATTACTCTCTAGCATTCGTGTTGTCACCACTGATTAATTTGACCGGGTAATCATACTTTAAGGAAGGAGACGTGCTTAAAACTCGCACCTGGCACACTTCTGGATTGCTTTTCTGCCGGAGAAAAAGTAATTTCAGTTTCCTCCCCGATGAGAGACAGCCTGTGTATGAATGGCACCGATTAGCGGCTTCCACTAAAGGTTAATAATACCTGGCGCTAAGACACATTTAACCCGGTCACTGCGGAAGCAGCCAGGGCAGGCAGGCGCAGGCAGATCAGCCGTGACCTATCCCGAAGAGCGTCCGGGACACGGTGGTCGGGCACGGGACATCACATCCCCAGGACCACGCTCCCCAGCAGCTTCACCGCTCCTCGCCCTCTGCTCCAAACTTCTCCCCGCTCCCCTCGATGCCCGAAGGGCTGCCCGGGGCCGGAGTGGCTGGGGCCGGCAGGGACGCACACGGTACCTGGGCACTCCGCGTCGCCGGGAACGCTCCGGTTTGCGGGCGCAGGGGGGGCGCACGGCCCCGCCGCTCCTGCGGGATGTTCCCTGCGGGATGTTCCCTGAGGGCAGCCGGCCCGGGCGGCCGATCCAGCTCCGCCCGCGACTCTCGTCTCCCGCCCGGCCCCGGCTTCCCCCGCCCGCGGCCGCCGCCCTCACCCGGCGCCGGAGGTGCCTGCCCTCGGATCGCGCTGCGCCGGGAGCCGCGGCCGTGCCCCGGGGCGCCGGGATGCCGCGGGATGTTGTGCCGGGATGCCGTGCCGGGAGGCGGCGGGATGCCGTGCCCGCCCCCGGCGCGCCCGTCCCCGCAGCCCGTCCCGGCGGGGAGCAGCGCGGGGGGGCCGGGCCCCAGGGACTGCCGGGCCCCAGGGACTGCCGGGCCTGGAGGTGGCGGGCGTGGGGCACCATTCCCTAAAACAGCGAGCGCCGGCTGGCCCGGGCTGCCGCTGCCGGGGAGAGGGGACCTGGCTGGGACACCCCCTCCCTGCAGCAAGCGCGGAGGGACGCATCTGCCCAGGGTCCCTGTCCCCCGCGGCCTTCACAGAGTTGTCCCGCTGCAAACTGATGCCGGGGGGAAAGAGCAGGTCCCGATGCCCTAAAAACAATAGGAAAAACAGCTCTTACCTGGAGCCTTGCTGACTTTACTCTTTTCTTTCCCCCTTTTTTTTGGCTGCAGTCCCTCGAACTGCACAGCAAAATGACACAGGACATCCTCCCACTCCTGCCCGACGCAAGCAGCGAGCGTGTGACAAAAAGTTGGCGCCTGGATGTAGCCATATGTGACCCTTTTTGGCTCCGAGCCTTGTTACGTCGCACAGGGAGAGGCCGTGGTGCAGCTGCACGCCTCTTTCAAGGCTGCTGGACTCTGGGACATGCCTTCATGCAGGAGTTTGGAAAAATCCAACCTTGCCCTGAAGTCAGCAGTCTTTGCCATTTGCCGCTTAAAATGGTGCTCTGTGAGGAATGATGAGAGTTCTCTATCTTAAAGACTTTGTTTCAGTGGAAATACAAAATTAACATCTTCAGGCATATTCTACCACATTATACCGATCTGGCTTTGAAAGCTTTTCAAAAGATCTAGACATTTTGAGCATAGCATAGATTTGTTAATTGGTTTTTGTTTTTTAATTGCACCAAAAGGACTCTAGACTATCTGTTTTGAAATCACTTTAAGCCATTTTGAAAATCACACTACAATCTATATATCTATATATACATCTATATATCTATGCCTATATCTATCTATATCTATATCTATATCTATATCTATATCTATATCTATATCTATATCTATATCTATATCTATATCTATATCTATATCTATATCTATATCTATATCATCTATATCATCTATATCATCTATATCTATATCTATATCTATGTCATCTATATCTATATCTAATCTATATCTATATATCTATATATGTAAGACTTTATCCAGCCGTTTCCCTAGATCCAGTCAGAGACAAATGAAAAGGGAATCTGCACAGAGGTTTTTCCATTTATGCTCAGAAACTTTCCATTTATATTCTGAGAACTGGACAAATGCAGACAAAAGTGGGTACCTTACCTGTGTTTTTCAGTGGTTACTTACAAGCCATGTCCAGCTTTTTATCATATTTATTTATGATAACAAATAAAAACAGAGGATTAGAATTCTATTTCATTTTGAAAATGAGGTTGGCTTTCATGAACCTAAAATCCCTTGGTTTTACTTCTTACATATTTCTGGCATGACCTAGAATACTTAGGACCTATTTTTAACATTATTTAAGCCATGTTGTTAAAGTAATCCTATTTACAATGGGAACTTTAAACACCAAGTAACTCAGGTGATGGCTTAGAATTGGTTGATTATGTTGCATTTTTATTAGATCTTTCCAAATGTCCTCTTAAAGTACAAGAGCTGTAGTTTGGAGTCCTGCCAATACTCCCTCTAAAATATTTTTCTTAGAATATAATTTGATGTATTTCCTTTATTGATTAGACTCTTTGCCATTTATTTAATTATTTGGGTAGATGGCTTGATTTCTCAAAAAAACCCTCTTATGAGTACTATTTTTAGCTTAATGACAAAAATAACTGGTAGATGTAGATAGATAACCTTTTCCAGGTTATAAGGAAGATTTATTCAGAAGAATGATGCTGCAGCTATTCTCTCACAAAACTAGTATTTGTACCATAGATTTACATTCAGCAGCTCCTTTTCCCAGTGGAAACGGGGAAAAGTGTGTTCTGGTCACCCTCAGGGCTTTGTTTGCGTGAGAACACATGAGCTAAGGCTGTGTAAGAATACACAGCTATTAGTGCCAAGGTCCTGTCCTGCACTTAGCTTGGTGCATGAAGGCCTTGACATCCTTCTAGCCCACCTGTATGTGGTCTGAGAGGGGATCCAACCTGTGGATTCCTTCAGGCTGAGGCAGTGGTAGGAGTTCTGAGGCAGCAGGAGATGCTCCTCAGCTTTCCTGATGCAGCTGACATATGCTGTGTGCAGGTGGGATTTCATGTGTGGGGTTTGGAGTGGAGCACTTCAGACACCTGCTCTGAATCAGAACCAGCATGAACGCCTGGAGGAACCACTGATGCCTGAGTGAGATGACTACTCCATGACAACGAGTTCTTCAGGGATGTGCGTGTTCCCAGTGTGGCACTGAGAGAAAAATCCTTTCTGCAAAGGAGTGAATCAGATACCTCAATGGTGCTCAGTAGTGGAAAGCTGCTTTGAAGCAGCTGGGATCAATTTAGCTTCTGCTGTGGGCATGCCTTGACAGAAATGTGGAGCTTCCCTACTTAGAGCCACAATTGGCTTTCTCTTTCATTTCTTTATTATAAACCGCTATTTCTTTATTTTCTCCTTTCTTGTAGCAAAATCAGTGTCACTTGAAAAAAAGATTTTGTATTTGTAAGTCTTGCTGAGAAACTTTTCAGGTTGTAGCCCTGTGAAGTTTCTATATTTTTAAATATCTGGAGGATTAGGAAAAAATCCTAATGTACTTTAGCAATATTCATGCCAAAACCATCTTTCTTTATATCATATTGTACATATTGTTGGAAGTTTCACATTTCCAAAGATGCTTCTAATGAAATCAATTGCTATCACAGGAAAACAAACCAGTGAGGAAAATACTGTAGATGAACTGTTTTTGAATTCCAGTTGTGAAATTTATGAAGATTATGGTTTACTCTGGTGCCTAGGAGACAGGGAGCAAAGTCAGTGGCCCAGATCCTTGCTAGTCCTGCAACCATGCTCCATGTTCCACTTGGCATCTCAAATTTTAAAGATAAACAGGACACAAATAAAGTGAAAATTAAACAAAAAATTCAGATTGTTATGGCTGTTTTGCTCTCTGCAGCATGCACTGGCGGTACAGCCAGGAGAGGAAGGGGATTACACCTGGGGAGCAGTGGGGAGCTGCAGGAGCACCACCCTTCTCTGTTGCATCATGTAGAAAACCACTGGATGGACCATGCAGAAAACTTCCTGCCAGTGGCCCTTCCCTGGGGATTGAGCTTTGATGAGTTGGGTTTTCACAGGAGCTGTGCAGCCAAGGTACTGGATGTAGCAATGTGTCAGAGGCTGTGGCTGCCTTTTAAGCTGGAGGCAGAATCTTGCCACAGTAAAGGCTTCTGAACTCTCTCCCTTCTGCTAGATCGCTGATTTTAGAAAGCTGACATTTTGGACTCCTTAAAAGCATCAATTTAAGAGGTGCAAAATAAATGATTACTCCTTGGGGAAAAATAAAACAAACAACTAAACCCAAAGATTCTTAGATAAATGACAAAGCTAAATAGAACAGATTTTATCTGAATGTAGAAAACATTTTTCCAGAAGCAGAACTTATGTGCCAACAAGGCACTTTACACAGATCCTAAACCTAAATAAATTAGGCTTAAAAATATAAATTAAGAGTTTTTAGAACAACTTGCTACAGACAAGTATAAAAGTTACTCGTAAAACCTTAGACCACAAGAACTAGGAAGCTGCAGAGCTGAGGGATTACCAAGGAGTGAGAGGATCACAAAAGAGGCTATGAAAGAGGTGCTAATGCAACTTCTTTGCAGTTTATCTACCAAAGAGCTTGGAGACATTCATATCCATGCACTTTCTTTATAAAAATCAGATATGCAGAGTTATCCCATATGGAATGGTTGGAAGGAGGGAAAAAAAAACCTCATATAAGGAAAATGAATAATAAAATCAGCTTGCCTGAGTCCTATTCACCTGGAAGTATCTTGAGAGGTCAGGTATTGAACAACTGTCCCACTAAGTTTGAGGTAAATTTGCCATTCAAATACTTTTTAAACTCAACCAAATAGGTACAAGGAGAAGGGCTCCAGAGGGTATTTGTATTTGAGACAACCCCCTTAAAAATAACCTCAAAATAGTATCACTTGGCATATGAATAACTCAAAACTAATACAATTCTGGCCTATATCAGCAATGGTGTGGCCAGCAGCACCAGGGCAGTGATTGTCCTTCTGTACTCGGCACTGGTGAGGCCACACCTCAAATCCTGTGTTCAGTTTTGGGCCTCTCACTACAAGAAGGACATCGAGGTGCTGAAGCGAGTCCAGAGAAGGGCAATGGAGCTGATAAAGAACTGGAGCATGAGTCCTATGAAGAACAGCCGAGGGAGCTGGAGTTTAGCCTAGAGAAAAGGAGGCTCTAGAGGGGGACCCTATCACTCTCTACAACTACCTGAAAGGAGGGTGTAGTCAGGTGGAGTCTGATCTGTTCTCCCAGGTTACAAGCAGTAGGAGGAGAGGAAATAGTCTCAAGCTGCACCAGGGAGATATAGATTGGATATCAGGAAAACTTCCTTCACCAATAGGGTTGTTCAGCATTGAAACAAGCTGCCCAGGGAAGTGGCTGTGTCCCCATTCCTTGGAGGTGTTTAAAAGATGTACAGATGTGGTGCTTAGGGATACGGTTTAGTGGTGCACTTGGCAGGGCTGGGTTAATGGCTGACTCCATGATCTCAAATGTCTTTTCCAACCTAAATGATTCTGTGCTCCTATATTGTGTGATTCTACTGCATAATTCTTATGAGGAAGCTGTGCCTCTTCCCATCTCCTGGAGGCTTCATCAAGCACCTTCATATGTAAATTATCCACTTTATACAGACTTTTAAATTTCATTTATGCTTCTGTCTAGGTCTTTCTGGCAAGAACTTTGAAGACCTTTATAAGGAGTCTCAACTACCTTGAGATTAAAAGGATCAATAACTACTTAAAGGCCCATCACAGGATATTAAAGAAAGTCATCCAGATTCAACTTCTGTCTCACAAAACAAGAAAAGAGTCACTGAATAAAATCCTTAGGCAGTGTGTTTGAAAAAAAATAAAAATAAGTACTTGTTCTACCCTGCACATTATTAAATGACACTATGCTCATGTGATCAGAGAATAAAGAAGAAACAATAATCATAAAAGGTTAAAAAAAGTGCAAATTATGGGACAAATATTTATCAGGTGCAATTAAACACAAAAATTGAGATTTCCAGTTCTTTATATATATGAGGCCTCTAATAAATGACCCAAAACAACAAGGCTTATAATAGGGTACAGAAATAGAAAAGCAAGTGCATCATCTGTGTCTCAGCTTCTTGCAGCTTTAATACTTGTGGTCTTTTCTTGAGGAAAGCTCAGACCCTGGAGACATTCAGAAATCTTCTCAGAGAGCATGTTAGCTGGGAAAGGTGTTCACTAGGAATACTAGTTTTTTTAAT